TGGGGGGGCAGGGGGGGTCGAGGGGGGATTCAGTGACACCCAGAAAACAAAGAAGAAAAGAAGTAATAAATTAAGAAGAGTTCCTGTGACCATTTTCTGGGTGAAGGTGTGACACGTCGCTGAAGGAAATCATTCCAGTACAAAAGAAAAAAACAGTAATCAGTCATATTTCCCATGATGCACCGAGAACAACAGTACCACTCAGTAAATTAGAGAGAAAAATCATTTTAACAAGATCGGAGGTGAAGACGGGAGGAGACGACAGCCAGGATCCGTCCTCGCCTCCTTTAGTGTGTGGTCTTTTCATCAACCGTCCATGTGAACGAGGCAGGGGTCGGCTGTATCTCCTCCACCAGGGGTCAGTGTGGAGATGTGAGAGCACATTCACGTCCATGGGGGAAAAAGATTTTAGAATAAGAAGAAAAAGAAAAAAAAGTATCTAACTGTTGGTGGCGCTGTGCAAGGAAACAAGGGTTGGGGGGAGGGGGGGTCTGACCATGACACCCCACCCCTTAATAAGGACCTGAGGTGGTGCTGGGACTGGACTGGATTACCCCCCTCCCCCACACACGATAAGACATAAAAAAAAAAACCTCTCTGAACAGGTTTGTTCTGCAAACGCTACGGCAGTTTGTCTGTCCTAACTTCCTGTAGGTGGCGCTTGACTCAAAGAAGAGGGAAAGAACACAGGTGGAGCTCAGAGACTGGATTTAAAGGTGGTGTCGTGGCATTCTTTTGTGGGGTTAAGGCTGTTTGTGCGAGTGTGTGAGCATGCCGTAACAACAGAAGGCGCCCCCTGATGGCCAAACAGACAAAGGACAGAAAACTAGACAACTGTAAGTGAGACAAGGAGGGCGGAGCTTGATGAGAGGAGGAGGAGCAAACAGGTGGAGCCTGTTGGTGGCGTTAAGGCCAGTTGTGAACTTAGCATTAAACAAGAAGGCGCCATCTGCTGGTCCAAAAGAGTCCAGGTCGGCTCCGATGAGTCTTTTTTTTATGTCTGTGGAAAAACTAAAAAAACGACACAAAAGAGTGTGGAGGGGAGGGGCACAAGTTAGGGTTGAGTTTTAAGGCTGTTTGTTTGACCATGCAAAAGCAGAGGACGCCCTCTGCTGGACAAGTCCATAAAAGTCCCTTAGCCTGTTTTACTTATTTAAATTTCTGAAAAAAAAAAAGAACACAGCCAGTGGAGGGCGCTGGAGGAGGAGGGTAAAACCGTGGCTTTAAGATGCAACAAGGTGTAGTACCTTCAGGACCAGCTAGGGGTGGGAGGTGTGTTTAAGGCTGTGTGTCCATGTGAACATGCAATAACTAAAGATGTGCCCCCTGCTGGCTGAGTCTTCAACAGAAAGAAAAACCAAAGTCAACAGCGTTGAGTGACGGTGGTGTCGAGTTCAGGTCCAAACAAGACGGGCTCCGGTCTGCTGCTCCTCCTCCTCCTCCTCCTCCTCCTCTTGCACGAGCAAATCATCTCCAAACTTGAGAGAGCGGTGACCAAATCAGGAGCACTCCTCCCCGATGCGTTGGCACGAGCGGCCCACTTTGCGGTCCAGCTTCACCATCTTAAGGACGGCCTCCTCGCGGCCGCGCCCCAGGTGATCGAACAGACAGTCGTGTTGTTCGGGGAGACGGTGGAGCATGCAGAAGACGTAGCCTGGGGGACAGGAAGGAAAGGTGTGAGAGCAAACATCGGTGACAAGTCGGGTCAAAGGTCAGGACTGGAAATGTGACTCAAGGTGAGCGCTAACACTAAGACTGATCTGTGATCAGACTCCAGACAGCATCGGTACTGACCACAGCGACAGGAGCCCAGTTCCTGCTGCACCAGTTCTAGTTTGGTTTGACAGCGGTAGCAGCGTCGGCGGTTCTTCTGCTTCGGCGTTGCGCCCCCTGCCTCCTCGCTGCCTCCCTCCTTCTCGTTCGGCCGAGGTCGCTTCTCTGGCGTGGCTTCACTCTCCGAGCCCGAGGCTAAAAAAGGGGGGAGGACAAGGGAAGGAGGGGGAGAGGGCAGGACTGATGGTGAGCTGTGAAAGTGGGGCAGGTCACACCAGGACTGTTGGCAGGAACAGAGAACGGTACCTGATTCTCTGGGGCGTTTTGTGGGCGTGCAGAGAGTGCCCTGGGCGGTTTCTGTGGACGACACGGCTGAAAATACAAATCAGATTAAGACGGAGGTCAGAAATCTGACTTCAAGAACATTTAGTTTTTACTTACACTGCCACAAAAAAAGAAAAAAGAAAATCAACATTTTGAATAGAAAAATTCAACCTTATATTGAGCCACATGTATGATGAGAAAGAACAGAGAACAGAAAAGCACAGTTGACAGAAGCCTGGAGGACAGAGAAGAAGGAGAAGGTTCTCTCCACAGCTCCAGTCCAGACTCTGCTCACCTTCTCTGGTGCTGGGACACGTGGACGACGGCTCCTCGGCGGCTGACGGCTGCTCAGGGTTGGAGGGCGGCGACGACAACAGGGACTGGCTACTGCTGCTACTGCTGCTGCTAATGCTGCTAATGCTACTGCTGCTGCTGCTGGAGTCGCTACTGAAAACAGGTGATTGGCTGGTGCCGGTGCTTTGGATGGGTTTGGAGGTGAGGTCTTCTCCTGGCTGCTTCTTCTGGATGTCTGCAGGTCAGAGAGAGTCAGTTTGGACAGTTGACCATTTGAACCTCTCCCCCCTCACAGGTCACCACAGCAGATCAACTGCCCCCCCCATCTCCTCCACCACTGCATCCATACGTCTCCTCTGGTCTCCTCCTCTTACCTGGCAGCTGCATCTCCAACATCTCCACCTCACCTCTCTAACCTCATCTCCACACTGCTCCACCCTGACTGTCCCTCTGGTCTGACCAGGTCACTTCACATCAGTGAAGACCTCAGCATCTTCGTCCTCATCTTCATCTCCTCCACCTGTTCTGTCACTAACCAGCACAGTCATTCATCTCCATCCACTCCACCCTGACTCCACCCTCATCTTCACTTTGAATGGTTCTGGTACTGGACCAGTAGATGTCACCACTGAGATCCTCATTCTTGGCAGTGAACAGAATAAATGAGACATGGTGTCAGGACTTACCAGCAAAACATTTGGAGCACAGGTTCATGGTTTTGCTAGACCTGAGAGAGAAGAAGAAAATGTAACTGATCCAGGTGTGAATGTTCAGAGGTTTGGCTGCAGCCACGTTAACACCATCTGACAGAGAAGAAGGTTCTCCGTTAGAACCAACAGTACCAGTCCTACCTTTTGGTAAACAGTTCTGGACCGTGAGAACCGACTGATTCAGCGGTCGAGTGTATTTGAACTGCACTTTGTTTTGTCAAATTTGTCTTCTAATTAAAAAATAAAGCTAATGAATGCTACACTTCAAAGACTTGAAATTATTAGATCAAATTCTTGTGCACGGAAGTCCTGCCCCCGGTGGATCTTAGAGAAACTGCTTCAGACCGTCATGAACAGATAAGAGTCTTAATCTTGAAATTGAACCTTTGACCCAACCCTCAAAGAACGTCACCAACTTTACACCACAAATGATAACAGTAACAAAGGGCGAAGAATCATTAGCCTTTAAAAAAAAGCTGCTTTTAGCTTTAATGTTTAACTCTTCATTCAAACGACTGTTGTGGAAACGTGTCTGTCCGCCCTGATGTCCGCAGCCCTTAGGTTTATTTTTCTGCATTTGAAATACTGGATCATTAAGGTGTCAATATTAGTTCAATATTAGATTCATGCAATTTATGAAATGTTAGGAGACTAGACTCTGGAGACTAGTTTCAAGTTAATTGAGGCTAATTTTAAACTCCTTATTAGCTAACCTTTAACCTTACTTGTACATTTGAACACACTGAGCCACATCTGAGCTAACCATTAGCTCCTATCATGTTAGCTTTACCATCATCTGACTTTTAGAGCACTCTCATGTATTTACTGTACATGGTACGGTCTTCAAATCAAGTACATGAATGAAGTACATGAACTGTATATTTTGGTAAATGACATCAGCATACTAATACTGAAGGGGATTATTAAATAAACAACAACTTAATTAACCTGACACCGGTTAAATATGGAAACTAATATAGACCAGTGTGAGGAGCAGCTGCCACAGTACCAGTGCTGGCTGCAACACAAGCTCAGTCAAGATGTCTTAAAGAGGCCTTGAGTTCCAGGACCATGTGAAGACGGTCTGTGCAGGACAGGCAGAGTCCACGGAGCCAAAACAGAAAGAAAAGCAGCGTGAACCCCAGTCAGGGTCATCTGTGTCACCTGACATTGACAGGTGGGTCACAGGTTCCACGAGGTTCAGTTTGAAGTGCAGAAGTACAGCCGCCCCTTTAGCTAATGATTATTCTCATGGTTGATTAAGAGGAGGGTTTTTTTTTTCAGCTGGTAAACTAAACCTAGTTAATTAGTTTGTCACTGTCTGATACCATGAAATTAAACCCAAATTAAATCAAATGTACGACAGTGGTCCCTGAAACCTGTCCAATAAGGTACATTAATTTAATTTAAAAGGTTCTTGGATTCATAACTGGAATAATCAAATAGTTTTTTAAGGAAACAAGAGTAAACCTTGAAATATTAGGAGGCAAAAGTTTGGAAATTCAAAACCTAAAAACACCAAATGTTAGCCAAAAGTTCACATTAATTGATCAAATAAAAGATAGAAGAATAGAAGTCAAAACCATACTAAACTAATATTAACATTACGTTGTAATGTAAGGAGTTAGCTGTGGATTTCTGAAAGAGAGAAAGTGATTTAAATGAATAAATAAAGTGGGGGAAACGGTCCAATAATTACCGCCGTTAGAAAATAATTTAAAGATAATTTACGTCGTTGCTACAACAGTTAGAGAACAGCCAAGAGGGAAATGTTGACAAAGGGTCCAGTAACGACAACAATAACTGCTAAAACTACTCGTATCTGGTCATCAACTAGAAGCTAACTAAACGACGGCTAATACCGGCTAATGATGAGTTAGGGGTAAAAATGTCGCGAATGTGTTTGTTTTAACGTGTTTAAATACAGTAGTTATACGTTTCCAGTTAGATGTCGCATTGTTAATGATGTGGTTCTGAAATAATTAACAGACAGATATAAAGGTAGCATTTAGCATTAGCTTGTCATGTGAAGTAATTGTTCATGTTATGTCGGTGGTTTCTAATATGGAGTAACAGCGAATCACATCCGGTATGCAACACACACACATACAGCACTTGTCAAGATCGATTGTAATAGGACGGAAAAGCCGCAAAAAATCGGTCCAGTTGGTTTGGTTCGGTGCGGGGTTCGAACACTGTTAGTGCCCCTGTTTTGTCACGTTTTTAAAAGAAACAGAAAGAAAAAGCCCTGACCAAGGACGGCGTCTTTTTAAAAAGGAACCTGCTGGCAATAAATCATTCTGTATGTCGGGTACGTCACCTCCTGTCTCCACAAATCCTCTCTAAAACAACTAATAAAAAGTGCTGCTGGGAAATGAAGGAGAGCTACGTTTAAAAAACGACAAACTGGTTTAAAATCTTCTAAAAAACGACGCTTTTGCGGCTGTCTTTTTAAAGGCAGCTCGCTTTATTTATTAGCCAACTTCCCAACCCCCCACCCTCTGCTCGGCCTGCAGCACAACAACAACAATGGGCTGTTTTCAGCCTCTTATCTGGCCCCGGTTCGTCTGTAAAAGAGGATTTTAAAGAATCGTGTAGTTTAAAACTCACCCCCAAAATCCACAGGGACATCGTGGAGGTAGACTCGGAGCTTTGCTTCGTTCACTGGTGTCTCCCATGACTTCTAGCCAACACACACAAAAAGAGAAGCCCGATATGGAAACGCGAGGCTGGGGATGAGATCGGGGCCTGGTCCTTCAACTGAGTCCGACCCCCAGATTAGGTCAAAAAATAAACAAATATCCGTCCTTTCAGCGTTTTAAAGTCCACAAGTGAGTCAATAAGGTGGGGGGAAAAACACTCTGGTGTCGGCGACACATCCGCACCTTCCGCTAGGCAATTCAGATCGAACCGGAATGAAGTGAACGGCTCAGTGGGAGAGAGTCAGCTGGACGGCCGGAGCATTTGAGGAACCATAAAATCAGACGGCGGACGAGAGGACCAACCGCAGCTTCATTCGACGCCAAACCTGCCAGAGAGGTCGCCCGACGCCCGCCGACTGGGACTGGAAAAGACGGGGGCAACGTTGAAGGTGTGGGAGGGTGAGAGAAGGGAGAAAATAAATAGATAGAAGAAGGCCTTCCCCTGGCCAACACTCCGAGGACCACCCCTGTTCACGTCTCTGGGCCCCGGAAACGCGTCTGTCAAACCAGAAATGTCAATATTGGCCGAGGAAAAGGAACGAACTGTAAATATGTGGAAAGACCCAAGAAAAAACGGAGTAAAATCTAAAATATGTTCATTTTTCTTTTTCTTCTCACATTAACTGTGTAAGAAGTGAAGAGTGTCGGACTTTGTTGGAGCTCAGTGACTGAACCGTCACATTTGTCATGAATAAAAGAACAAAACTAACCAAGTTTAGGATTTGATTTCTGATCATGTGATACAACTCTCCAATAGTATTTCTATAGAACTGAAAAGCAGAGGGGTCAAAGGGCAACCTGGTCTAAGTTATTTGTTGTTGTCCAAGGAAATATTGTTTTGCAGTGATTAACAGACAACACGTGACTGAAAAGGTTGGTGACAAAACATCGGTCACTTTGTTGTTGGTTTGATGTTAACTTATCCATTTCTGAGGGGTTAGAGCCTCACCCCCGTCCAGCAGAGGGCACCCTAGGCAGCCACCGACTCTATGTGGCTTATGCCAAAGTCCAACTCCGAGTCCCAACAGTTTGTTTTTCTATTTCGTTCTCATTTGACCTTTACCATTAACCAGTTAGCTTTCTCACACCTTGAATGCTAACCCAGAGGTGCAGTCAGACAGCAGGGGGCGCCACCACTCACCACTTCATGAGAACAACTGACAGACACGACACAGTGATTGTTTGGTGCACAGAGAACCAAAGAACCTCACACACACACAGAAGGTCAGAACAAATATATTTATATATATGTTGAATATATTAGGCAGAACTGTGACATAACATCAGACAGAACAGGGTTCAAGAAAGTTCTAATTTACACCAGGTGTTTAGAGGACTTCATTCAGCTGCTAACACAGTCATAAAGGTAACAGAGACAGTAACCCCCCCCCCCCTTCACCCAGTATCAGTAACAGAGTGATGAGTTCCAGTCAGGGGTTGCTAATTACACACACTCAGGGTGTGAGGAGGGAAAGTTCCACAGCAGGCACCCGCACCAGGAACTAACACAGTATGGGAACTAAATGAAAACCTCAGAACTGATTTGTATGTAAAACAGTTCCAGCTGGAGAGGTAGGTCTTCTCAGAAGTCCAGGAACCACGGGTTGGAGGATCATTCTTCAGCAGAACAGACAGTGACCAGTTCACTGAGGTCATAAACTTTCTGGAACTTTCTCCAGTGTGGGGTGAATTTAGCCTTGACCATTTATTTCCTATGACAACGGCCCCTGATTCTAAAAGGTTCCTGCCGTTTGTAGAACTTTAGTTCAGTGAAAATGGTTGCTGGTACTCACAAGTTCCTGGTACTCTGCAGTGGGAGTGCAGCGACAGTGAGTGAGGGACGGCATCAGGAGCAACTACTGTGAACTTAGTACAAAATCAAGAGTCAAACATCGCCGACGGCGGCGCTAACAACAAATCAGTGAGTTTTACAATAAAAGTAGCTTCAAAGTCAAAAGTGCGACGACATGACAAACCTAGAACTTTCACACCAGCACAGACCGGCACAGGGTCGTCCTGTAGGTTCAAATCAGAACCCTGGGCTCACACTCACCAACCTGTGTCTGCAGTTCACACCATGACCACTGGGTGTTCCTGTACTGATCCTTCCAACCCACAGCCCAGTGTCTATGTGACACAGTGCCAGTGCTGGTAAGAAAGTGCTGAGACACACACACAAAAACCAAGAGGAACCACAGCAGTGACAAACGCCACCCCAGAGCCCAGAGGCTGTAAGTGTTTAACAGTACCAGTCCCAGTGCTCTGGTACTGTTCTTCAGTCAGAAAGAGCCATGTTTAAATCGTTAATAAAGTGCCAACAGCAGCTGCGCGTGACAAGTGTGTAGCTAACCTTTTCCTTCAGCAGCCAATGTAAAGAAGCCATTTGGTCCGAGCCCATCCTCAGCGCCAACAACGTTTGGTAAAAAGTTCCGTGTTTTCCAGAATCATTTGTGCTCAAACTTTTCAAGTGCTTGAATGAAGAGACCTCATAAAATCTACTCTCAGGGTGACATCACAGGAGGGGGCGTGGCTTTGGGGTAAATGAATGCCAGTCAAACTGAGGCAAAACTTTCCAGAATTTAGGAAGATCAAAGTCTTTAGAAATAGTGAACTTCTCCTCTGCTATGAACAGTGACAGTAAAAACAGTTCCACACAGACACCGCCGTCTACAAAGGTTACTCTGCATACAGCTGTGGCCTCACCACCGTCCAATCAGATCACAATATTCCAAAACAAGCACCAGCCCAGCCAAGTGGCAGTGGAGCACGATCAGTCATCCTGGGGTTTTTGTCAAGGATTTTCCGATGACCTTTGGCCTTCCCGTGACTCTGTGAGAAAACCCACGCAGTCGATCCTTCTTTCAGTGCGAGTCTGGTGGATAAATAAAACGACGTGATCTACGTGACATTTCACAGGGATCAGCGACAGTGGAAGGCTAACGATCTAAGGTTCAGTAACAAATCTAGGAAGACTGGAGCTCAATGACCCTGTGTGACCAACACCCCACAGCTGACGACCCACAGGACGCCGTGGTTTTCACGCACCATAGATCGTACATCAGCGACGGACGTGGCCATTGGGTCACAAACAGAAGTTGACTGGAACTAGCTCTGCTGGTTTTTTTGGAAGAACTATGTAAATGTCGCAAAAAAAAAGCTGACTCACTAATTTTCCACTAGGGGCCGCTTTGTCTGCACAGCACATCATACTTGACCTTAAACAAACTAGCCAGCGCCCCCCTGTGTTACCCTATTTGTATTGCAACTTAATGGACACATCTATTTCTAATGTTCAACCTAAGGTTCCATCCCGACGGCGAGAGCGCCCCCTCAAAGTTGGCCCTGTGAGGACGACGGCTGAGAGGGCAACAGGCCGTGTATGCGTGCTGGTCGTTGGGGGCGTGTCTGCTGAGAGGCTGGGGAGGGGGGGTCAGAGGGGTTGAGTCCAGGGCTGCCCTCAGTGACCTCTGTGTCCAGCTGAGCTGGACTCTCAAAGTGGACGCAGTGGAAGACCTGCAGTGACGGGGAAAAAAAATCATTTAATCTCACACTTTTATTTCATTGGTCCTCGGCTGAGGGTTCAACTCCAGGTCGGACAACGTCACCTCGTTAGCCGTGTTGTGTGTTCCCACAATCCTTATGAAGGAGGCAGGCTGCTTATCAAACTTTAGAGTCTGCCACGACCTGCAGTAACAAACAAACAAGTTACCACACACACTGTCCTCCATCGGTCATCCTGAAGGATGACCTTTGACACCAGGTCAAACCCTGCTTCTTTGTCTGGTCTAAGGGCTGAAATCCACACCCTTTAAAGGTTTTTTTTTTTTATAAAAATGAAAAACCCAGATGGTTCTGGATTCAAACCCGTTGATGAGCGCCGGTCACTTCAACAGGTTTCATTCAGGTTTAGTTAAAAGTGTGACGTTTGCCAGGATTTGAAAATGCCTTCCATTTAGAGGGTTAGAGGGATCAAAGGTCAAAACTCACAGATATGACGGTGTTGGGAGACAGAGACCAGTCTGAACTGGTTCTGGTCCTTAACATAAGACACCTGCCAGAACCAACAGGCCCGTCTGAGGACTTTCTGACTGACACCCTGGATTCTGAATCAGTTCAGTTCACTGTGCTCAGGCCTGGGATGGGATCAAACACCCAGATCACCAGGCCGTGTCACACACGTGACAGTGGAGCGGCTGGTGACTCACCGACAGGCCACCCTGGTGCGGTCCACCACCTTGGTCCAGTGCTGCTGGTTGGTGGAGGTTTCGATGTAGTACCTGTACGCCCGCTCGTCACAGTCCCACAGCAGCAGCCTGAGGAGAGCACAACGGTTCAGGGTGAGGGGCAGAAGCTGATGTTGGCTCCAGCAGCTGCTCCTCCTGTGCAGCCACAGAGGCATCAAGTCAAAGTGAATTGTTGTCATTTATCCACAGCACCACACACACACACACACACACGAAGGAGTGGGTCCTCAGCTTTGACCCATCACCTCAGTGAGCAGGGGGCAGTTCAGGCTGAGCCCCCGGGGACACAGTGTGTAGGGACGGTGCCGCGGTCAGTGTTGCCCGGTGGCTTTGAACCCGCAACCTTGTTAGAGCTGGTCGATGGTAAGTAGTAATAGAGTACAAGTAGAGCTGTAACTGGTGATAGAAGTCATCAACACAACGACATATCGTGGTATTTTCTTCAAACATTTGAAAAACTTCACTTCTACCTCAACGATCCAATGGCGTAGGGCTGAGCCAGCTGGATCACGATGGCTCCGGAGCCAAGCTGGTGGCAGGTGTATCCTGAGTCCCAGTCGTAGTTGCGCGTGTCGCCATTGAGCAAGGCGTTCCGACTGCGACTGACCCCCTCGATGACGCTGGCACAGGCGTCCACGGTCGCCACGTTCTCACTGGGAACTGAAGAGACGAGAGGTCGGAACATAAGAGGGCGGGAACAGCAGAGCGGGTGGATGATCTTCTCTGGAAACTTACCCACAAGTCCGTTCTCCAGTGTGAAGGGACGGTTGGTGTACATACACTCAAAGGCCACCAGGTGGAAAACCTTGTTGACGGTGTTGTGAGTTCCCACGATGCGAACGTACCTGAAGTCGGAGCGACAGAGCCGTTAGCATGTGTGCAGCTAAC